GTTTGATTTGTAGATATATTGGGAATAGAGCTCAGTGTGTTGTTTTTATTATTGAATATGTGTGATCCACCATCACAGAAATCAGGGAATGTGTGGACGGCTTTGGCACATATAATAACAGCAGTAATAGGTTCCGGAGTACTTTCTTTAGCATGGAGCATGTCACAACTCGGGTGGATTGCAGCTCCGTTGACCATGATCGCATTTGCATCCGTCACCCTTACTTCTGCAATGTTTCTCAAAGAGTGCTACAAATCGTCCGATCCCGACTATGGTTCTACAAGAAATGGTTCCTACTTAGATGCTGTTCAGACAATTCTAGGTAAGATGTAGGCACCATACTCATTTACGAGAAATGTGAATAATACCCTTATGTTGTCAAGCTAGTTACATTTTCTTTTTCTTTTTTTTTTCCTTCAATAGAATCCTAAATGTTTATCTGTTAATTTTACTATATGTATGGAGCATGCTTAAAAAAAGTAAAAGTACTTTTAAGTAAGATCTTGATTTCAGACATCTTGAATAACTTTTATTATACTTCTAATTAATAACAAAGTACTTATAAGTTATTTTTTATAAGCTCGGATAAACATGCTCTATATTATATCTTCCTCCCAAGTTTCAGTTGTACTAGAATTTCAATAGAATTGTGAGAAAGCTGGCATCTTTGAAATAAAGTTTTACTCGGATGCTGTGCACCTATAACTTTTTCTGTTTTAACTTTTAATAATAAACTATTGTTTTTGCAATCAACATGGAAATATACTATTGCTTGAATGCCATAAATAAGTGACATTTACAGCTCTCAATGCTATCTGGTTTAGAGCAACATGGATTTTTTTGTTTATTGAAAACAATATCGAAGACTTCACCCCATGGTCTGACTGGAGTCCGCACTATATAAAGTGGGACTCGAACTCAAAAGATGGTGACCTCGAGTTCTACAAAGTCGAGATTATGTTTCCTCTGGCTTCTATTTATTTGCCTACATATATGCTCAAATAGCAGTGGTATACTAATTTTATTTATAGAGAAATTCAAATTTTTGTTTAAACAAATTTAGCCCTTGATTGGTTCAGCTAAAATCTGAATTAAATTTTAAGTTAAAGTCAACAATTAATTTTACATCACATATTTCATGGAATCCACAACTTTTCAACCAAGGGCAGAGCCAGAAAGATACATTAAGCTGGGCAGAAATTTAATTTTTTTCAATAAACTTATACCATAAAAGATGCTCTAAACCATAAGGTAAAACAAAAATCGAACCCAAAATCGAGCAAAATCATGCCCAGTTAATTGATTATGACAAACCACTCAAAAACCGGCCAGTTCAACCGTAAACCAGTGAACTAGTCATAGTTTGGTACTTTTCCCGATTTATTTTCTTTTTAGTTTTAAAAATTTTAACTTCATAAATAGACCTCATAAATTACAATTCAAAGGCCACTCAAAACTCACTGAACTGGCCAGTTCAACCGTAAACCAATGAACTAGTCATAATTTGGTGCTTTTCCCGATTTTTTTTTCTTTTTAGTTTAAAAATTTTAATTTCATGAATAGACCTCATAAATTACAATTCAAAGGTCCATAAAAAACTATTGGATGACATGCTCATTTTATATATGCACTTCTCTCAAATGATTTCATAAACTTTTAATGTGGGATGGTGGCATAACAAAAAAATGTTTAAATGTCCATCAAAATCATTTTCAAAATGTATGTTTAATTGACTAATTTGATTTTGAATCCCAACTAATTAAATTGTAATATTCACCTTCATCCTTTCATTTATTTAATTTTCAAATTTAACTTAAATCGTACTTGATTATTAATATATTAATGTTATATATCATTTTTTATAAGTTTAAACTATTTTAATTTAACAAAGAAAACTATTTTAACATATTGATTTTTTATTTTTGAAGTATCGAGACTAATTGTAGGATAATGAATCTAATTAACAAAGGTAGATTTACTTTGAATTATTAATATGAAAATTTAAAAAAAATTTATCATTTTCATAGTATTTTATTATTTTTGTATGTATTTATTACATTCAGTTCGATCCCGGTTCGATCTCGATTAAACATTTTGACCCTTCACTTTTTCCGGGTCAATGACCAGGTCAGTTTTTAAAACTTTGGTTATTATATATTTTTTAACACTCATAACAAAGTTCTAACAAATATATTTTTAAACTAATAAAATTAAATATATAGCATATTACTTATTTTGATAATAACATCATTTCAGAAGCAAATTCATGGTGAAAAACTAAAAAGAATAAAATTAGCACAGCCCAAAATTTAACTCTCCAGCCCAAAAGCAAATTCATGTTGAAAATTAAAAGAATAAAATTTGTCCCGCACACATATTAATTTTAGCCTAATTAACTTCATTTTCAACCCAAGTCTAAAACTGAAATGATACACAATTAACCAAATATTTAAACTCAATTAACAAAATAATAATAACATTTTGCTTCTAGGCTGGGCGTAAGGGTGGGCTATAACCACATGTTCCATTAAATCGTATCAAAATCTACTAAAAATATGATTTTTATCTAAACGTTTAGAGTATATATTATCATTAATCTTTCCCCTTTCATGTCAGGAAAAAAGAATGCTTGGGTATGCGGCATTATTGTGCGAATAAATTTAATCAAGATAGGTATTGTGTATACGATTACATCCTCCATCAGCATGAGGTATGTAGGAGTACTTTATTTTTTCTTTTGTCTCTCTGTTTTTTTCCCTCTTATGTCGTGACGTGATTTCGATAAAAGTTAAAGAGAGGAGGATCTCAATTAATATCATAATATGGCATGTTCTAGTCTCTAAGGAAGTCTTAAATCTGACATGAACATGGCAGAATGGCGAAGAAGGATTCATGTGGTTGGCCTCAAATTTATTGTGAATAAGGCTTAGTATGTTGTTGTTATGATGCGACGTGTATGTTTTATCATGTTTTGCATCAATGTTGTCATTAAATATTGGTTTATCTATAGTTCTTAAATTTTGATTTTGAATATTTTCAATTAAGGTTTCATCGTTATTATTTCGGTTAATGCAGAGCAATTCAGAGATCAAATTGTTACCATAATGAATGGCATGAAGCTGCTTGTAAATACAAGATTACTTATTACATGCTCATATTTGGAATTATCCAAGCCCTCGTATCCCAAATACCTGATTTTCGGAATACTGAGCGACTATCTGTCATTGCAGCAATCATGTCCTTTACATACGCTACTATTGGATCAGCACTTGGCTTGGCAAAAGTAATAGGTAGGTCGGGAATATGAATAATATGACTCGAACTTGTTACAGTGTGCAAAATTCTTCAAGTTTTTTGATCACTTAATCTTAATTTATAGAAAATGGAGAGATAAAAGGTAGCATTGGAGGAGTGTCTACTTCGAATCCTGCTAAAAAAGTATGGGCAGTTTCTCAAGCGCTTGGGGACATGGCCTTTGCTTTCCCATTCTCTGTTATTTTCCTAGAGATACAGGTCTGGAATTTTACTTTTGTAACAAGAATAATTAGTGCAAGTTTAGTATGCACTATTAGATTGTACTAGAGACTACAACAAACAAAACTTTAGTTCTTTTTCTTTCTTAAAACAATCTAGTGCTATCTAATCCAACTTCCTAAAGCAAAATTAAGCAATAGCATAGATTTAATAAAGAACGTTTGAACTTTATAATACGTACAGGATACTTTGAGGTCTAATCCACCGGAAAAAGTCACCATGAAGAAGGCATCAATAATGGCAGTCTGCATCACAACTTTCTTCAACCTATGTTGCGGAGGGCTTGGGTATGCAGCTTTTGGGAATTCAACCTCCGGGAACCTTTTGACAGGATTTGGTTTTTACGAGCCTTACTGGCTCATCGACTTTGCTAATGCCTGTGTCTTTCTTCATCTTGTTGGAGGATATCAGGTATTCATCTTTTCTCCTAGAACACAAGAGTGTGTTTTGTTAAGCTTAAAAGGTTTACTTACATGTAAATAAATAATTTTTTTTATCGGTCGAAGTTGGAAACGAGTATATTACTTATTTTGAAAATAAGGTAAAGTTACTATCAAAATAAGTTTCTTAATTTATCTCGTATGTGGGTGATGTTTTAACCTTTCTTTGGAATATGCATTGTTAGGTATTCAGTCAACCACTTTTTGCAATTACTGAAAGATGGATTATCAAAAAGTTTCCCAACTGTCGAACATTGCACGAAGATTACAATCCAAAATCAATACCAGGTTTGAGACTAAACCTTCTGAGGCTGTGTTTCCGAACTGCTTATGTTGCATTCACCACAGGTTTCGCCATACTTTTCCCGTACTTCAACCAAGTTGTTGGGGTGGCCGGAGCAATAAACTTTTGGCCTATTGTTGTATATTTCCCGGTGGAGATGTACTTGGTGCAGAAAAATATTGGACCTCAGACAAAAAAGTCGATTATTCTTCGAATATATTGTTTTGTTACATTTCTTGTGATACTATATGCCTTCGTTGGCTCAATTAAAGGTCTTATAACGGCTAGATTGAGCTAAAAGCGCTTCATTTACATTCTTATTGTTGGGCTAATCCAAATTGCTTAATGACGAAAATTGAGAGTTCTTGTGGTAATGGCTGATGAACATGCAGCAAATAGACTGTGGCATGGGTTTATCGACAGTGACAGACCCAAGATTTCGAGTCAGCACGGGCAGCCGTGGATTGTCGATCATCGTCAGCAGTAAAATATTAAGAGCCCCATTTGATGCCCTTTTTTTTTTATTTTGCAAAAAGTGCATTTTGGAATAGTGATTTGATGGAGAATATGTGGTTAAAATAAAGAAAAAATTGAATTTGAATGTAACATTATTTTATTGAAAATGTGATGTTGAAAAAAAGAAAGAAAAATGTATTTGGAAAAAAAAGAGTCAAACAAGGTCTAAATTTTAAATATAATAATTATTTTGTTCAAATTGAACATATAAAATTTTGTTGTAAAAATTAGCAATATTCACCAAATGATATTGTGGCCAAGTTTTTGTATAATTCAAAGGAAGAGCACAAGTTCAAATTTTTAGAATTGCATTAAACCCACTAAAATGTAACATATATTATTCTGGTAAATTTAGTATCAAATTCAAGGAGTGCCACAATGGTCAAGCTCTCACTAACCCAAGGAGAGGTCACGATTTTGAATCTCCTCTCCTTATCCCATTTAATTTTGGTAAAAATTAAAGAATTAAAAATCTTTCACAATAAAAATGGTGGAAAATGGATTCAAAATTGGGACTTCCTATACGAATATAAAAGCTCTACCCAACTGAGCTACAACAAATGTTTGAAAATAAAACAAATTACCAAGTATATAATCTAAAAAGTTGATTCATTGTCGACAAACCTAACGGATCCAGCTAGGGGTGGGCATGGGTTTGGTTGGGTCGGTTTTTACCTCAACCCAAGCCCAACCCAACATAATCGGTTTGATCAAAATTTAACCCAACCCAACCCATGTAAATGTTGAAACACAACCCAACTCAATCAAGTATCAGTCGGGTTGGGTTGGATTGGTTGGTTTGGGACGACTTGTCAACAAAAATTAAAGTCATCCAATTTTCTATTATACTAAATTCGAATAGATAAGATTAAATAGTAAGTAAATAAATAAATAAATAAAATTATCTATTATCTTATT